GATCCAGGCCAAGTTCTTCAAGTGGTTCTTTCACTTGGCATGAAATATTTCGGGAATTACCTCCACCCCAACTTCTCCATCGGTGCTGCATGGACAAGTGCAGCTGGAAATGCGCAGAACTCCAGCAAATCCTTCTGAAGAGGATATCTCTTTTCTGCCTTCTCAGACTTTAACTCTTTTTCCCCCAGAGGAGGTTGTTCAGTTAAGATGGCAAAATCAATTTTTATTCTGCTACACCACAAGGGTTGTATCTGCCCTGCACTACCGCAGTCTCTTTAAGGGCAGAGGCTTCCATGTGTGGATTTATATTTTTTGTAATTCCGAGCACAGTGTCCTATCTAGCCAGTTCTCAATATATGTATGATGAATGAATGAGTGCTCAAGGTTAAGCTTCACCACTGCCTGCCTGGCCTGAAGGAGGATGCCTACTTCCTGTTGCACTGTGCACACTTTCAAGTTACCCTCCTGCCTTGTGTTTCTCATGTAAGTACTGTTATTAAACTTGTAAATACTTAACAGAAGGCTGTTTTTTTGGCAGTGAAAGAACCTCTTTTGTCTCCTGTCCCGTGAATATCCTAACCACTTTGTCACTTTGATCTGGGGGGCATTTCATCCTCAGAAATGCAAAGGAGTTGGCCACCGTACAAAATGTGTTCTATTTGCCTATTGCCATAAAAATCCATTGCTCCAGAGCCTTTGCCTGCCCCCTTTCATGGTAATGTGCAAGCCACTAAATTGCAGTGACTGGCTGTGGCTATGGCCATCAAAAAATCGTGAATGCTGTGTAGATTTGAGGCTTGCTCCACTAAAGAGTCCACAATGGCTTTCCTGTAACTGGGTTAACTGGAACTTGGCAAGCTGCTATCCACAGAGGGTGATACCAGCCCCCTCCCCCTTCCAGGATGCTGGCCTGATCTTCTTGTATTTGTGCAACTGGCCCATCCAAAAGCCAGGGAAGCCGGGAGGAGGGTGCCATTGAGGGCCCCTCTCTCTGGGTCAGGTTGTCCTTTTGCAGCTCTTTTTTCACACATAGCTTCTCTTCCAGCAATGTGAAGTAGGTTACAGGATAGCTTGTTTTCTTTTGCTATTTGAAATACAGCATTCGGGGTCATGCTCTGAATAATTTGTGCTTGTTAGAAATGACTGTCGTCCTCTTGAAGCAATAACAAAGAACTACATTTAAATTAAATTCAGCCAAACAAGAGCCTCTCCACAAAATCAACGGAGCCAGGCATTTTTCAAAGAGATATTTTGGCTTTTTAAAATCTGTAATATTTCAGGGCATAAATCAGCACAGATATCCCAGGATCAAAAAGGAACTGGACTATCATTAAGAATGTTTGAAAAGTATTTGGTAATATCTAGGACGAAAGTGGAAACATAAGATAAAATCTAGATGCAGTCTTTTTAATATAATTTATTTTTATATCTAGCAAACTATTTTTCCTCAATTTCCTACTGTAAAATCCCAAGCATTGATTTTTTGAAAGATAGTTTCATCTATTTATTAAATCTGTGAGACCTCAAGAGACCAACACCACAGCACTGTTTTCAAGGTTGATTTGCACAAATGTACTCCAACACACATACACTACCCTCTTATCACAGGTGACAAGAAGCAGTGGTGATCAAAAATAAGGTGGCCTATAGTGCCAGGTAATGTACTTCAGTCAAAAAATTATTATTTCTTTATGATGTCCCCATTAAACACTTAACTTTAGTACTCACAGAATCTAATCTTTGGTGCATCAAAGTAGACATGGTTTCCAGCTCTTCAAGACCCAGACCTTTCATTCTTTCCCCGTACTGGAGGTATAAATATATCCAAAAACTACCCAACTTTGTCTTTTAAAGTGAAAAAAAAGGAATGTTCCATCAGTTACTTTAATGACTTGCCTTGCGGTTGCTCATTTCCAATTAAGTATTAATCCTGCCTAATAAACCTAATGAACAGGTTAATTATTAATATAACTGAAAAATTAAACTCCTCACGTTCATCACCTTGTCTACATGGCAGGCATTATCCCTGCAGATATACGTGCTTCTTTGCTATGCACATTTTAGCTTTCAAAGCAAATTTGAAAGCTTACATCAGGGTGGTTATGCTGAGTCATCCCTCCCGGTTTCCACCTCAGCTAGCAAAAAATGACATTTTGTGCTTTCTGTCTTGTTTCAGAATTCTTTCTGCGTGCCTTTTCTGCACAGGTATCGCAGAAGCCAAATGCCAGAAAGCAAATAGATCTCATTTTCTATCAGTTTATCCTTCTTTCTCTTAGTGCTTTCCTGGAGCCCATGATGCCCATACTCTTTCAGTTAGTTTGACCCTGAGGGATCTGGTTATAAGTCAAGTGCCATGTCTTTTGTGCTTTATTCCTTGATGCTCAGAAGTTCAAGAGAGTATAGACCACCTTTCACAATGGAAGACGATGTTTGCTACTATTACACTTGATCTTAGCCAAAAGGCCGAGAAGCGATAATGTTTGCTACTATTAGTTCATCTCAGTTCAAACATCATATTCTTCTTGAGTCCTTCTCTTCTGCCAAGGCCAACCACCTTCTGCCAACACCAGCTTCTGCCTGCGGTGCTGCCTTCTGTCTCTGCCAAGTGTTGACTATGAATCCTTCCAAACTGTACTGTTTGAATCAGCAAGGTTAAATTACTAAACTTCGCCCCCCCAAACATAGCCTTCTTGCTCCCATCCCTAGAAATTCTGATCGACTCATTTGGTCATCGATGGTACTTGGGACCCACCTCACAAATGAGATTCTAAAATGGTCCCACTTTGACAAACATTGGTCCAATTAGCCTACTGGTGTCTGTTTACCTTTCGCAGTGGCAATGTCACCCCAGTAGGGGTCAAAGGGCGCTTCTTGTTGCTGTTTCCACAAAACTGAAAGGGGAGGAGAGTGGGTGTGGGAGAGTGAAGGAAAGAGAAGTGCTTTCCTTTTCTGAAAAACACTAGATTCTGGAGAAGGCCCCCCCATCTTATCATGTTTCGGAAGATGACTAAGTCATTCCCTTTTACTACAAATTGGTAATGAGACAAGGATGATTAGCTCAATCTGGAGTCATGATTAGACACCTGCGTCGCCCCTACTCTTTTAGAGGAATGAGTCCAGGATGATAAGGGAGGCAGGGATCTGTGTACCTATGTGCACAGAAGTTGCTGCCAAAATACCTCAACCCATCCAGGCGTGGTGGCGCACGCCTGTGATCCCAGCGCTCGGGGGGCTGAGGCGGGAGGATCGCTGTGAGGTCGAGACCAGCCTGGGCTACACAGTGAGTTCCAGGGCAGTCTGAACTACATAGTGAGACCCTGTCTCAAAAAACCAAACCAAAACAAAATACCTCAACCCTGACCTGAAAGAACCCCACCTTTGGCTGATGAGGTCACTGCTGTTAAGTTTTTGTGCTGATATTTTGTTCGTAGGGCCCTCCATTTAGGAATAACTTCTGTTTTTCACCTTTATTAGTACACATCTGCTTTACATAATGATTTCATTCCGAGTGGAGAATTGGTGTGTGGACTTAACACATTGTAATCTTAATTCTTTGTCTTCTTTTGCCCTTCTCTTTCTTTCCCTCCATCTCTAGCTCTTTCTCTTGGTAAGGGATTTATCTTCTTCTCTTGAATTAGGTATCTATTATTTTGCTCTTTATATCGTTTATATTTTGGATTTCTCATATAAGAGAAACAATAAGATATTTGTGCTTGTGGGTTTGATTTATTGCATTTAACATTATGGTCTCAAGGGGCACCTGTTTTCCTACAAATGATTCAACTTTATCCCTCTTCCTGACAGATAATACTCTATGTTTTATGTGGACAATATCCGTTCATCTGCTGACGCACATATAGGCTGCTTCCAAGATTCAGCTGTTATGAGTTGTGCTGCTATAAAGGTGGCTATGCCCGCATCATTATCACGTGATGTCTTTAACTCATATCTCAGGAAGATGCATAGCCGGAGAACAGCTAGGTCAAATGAAATTTCTGTATTTAGTGCTTTTTGAGAACTCTCCATACTGATTTCCATGGTGGTTGTACTAGTTTACTAGGAATAGCTTCTTTTTAAGACAGTGTAAAATTTGTGGAGCATAATACTATATTTTGCATGTTCAAATGTATAAATTTGATCTGATGAAATAATTAAACTATTGCCATCCCTTCCATACTGTAGTAGTAGAAGGCTGTAATGACTCTTTATATACACAATGATAAAAACTGTTAAAAACTTTGGAAAAGTCAAGCAAATCAGTAACTGCTTATTTTAGGAATTCTTGAATTTGGAATGGTGATCTCATCACGTTTCTGTTCTGTGATGGTAGGTATGGGGCTGTATTTCAGAGATGAGTTTTGAGCTCAGGAGATAGTCTGACAGCCACACCAGAAGGCTAAGTGCCAGATAAAGGAACTCAGCTAAAAGTCTAAACCTCTCGACCTGCCCATGTGGTTAGACGGGAGAAGGGCATTTTATAGTTATTTGAACATGTTGGAAAGATGTCCAGAGAAGCAAGCAAACATGATATCTGTCAAACTTGATGACTATTCAGCTGCCAGTCATTGTCAAAATGATAAGCAAAGCAGGATTCTGCCAGCAGCCATGAGGTGCCAGATGAATGATAAGTTTAGTTAGCTTCATCACAGGCTTTGAAAGGATTAGAAAATTGAAAAATAAAGGCCTTACACTGAAAAATATTGACTGGAAGACAAGTGACTGGGACTGTGTCATAAAGATCAGCTAGTTATGAGGTGCATTTGTGAGATTACCATTACTCTAACAAGTAATCACTTTATAGGACTGAAAGGTTTATTTAGGCCCACAGTTGTAGAGATTTCAGTCCATGGCCATTTGGCCCTTTGCCAAGGCAGTACATCGTGGTGGAGAGTGTGGGATGCTCTCCTCATCGTGGCTGGGAAGTCAATAGAAGGGGTGGAGTTTTGCATCCCTTCAAGGATGGGCCCCTTGTGACCTAACTTCATTCCACGACACCTCACCTCTCAGGGGTTCCACCACCTCCCAGTGGTGCTGCAGACTGGGGACGAAGATTTAACATATGAGCCTTTATGAGGACATTCCAGAGCTAAACTACTGCAAGTCCAAGAAGCAAACTGTTTTATAAGAAAAAAATGTCATGACCAAAGGTAGGACATAAAGTTAAAGTAGAGTTACCTGAAGACTAAATTAGTAGTGATTTAATAATCAATGAATTAAAATTCTTTCTATTGCTCTAAAGGTAAATAGATCCTCTGGTCATTATTTCATGGCTTCCTATTGCCATATCTTTAACATGGCAGGTACTGCCTCTGTAACCTGGCTTTAATAACTAACAATAATAATAAACAATAACTTCAACCTCTTCCACCTTTCTTAGCTATAGTGACTTTTTCCTTTTCCCTTAAATATGCCGAGCTTCCTCCCGTCCCAAGCCTTTGTGTATATAAGTCCCTCTGCTTTCCTTATATTTCAGTTCATCCATCCTTGCCATTCAAGAGTTGGCTGAAGTGACTTTGTCAAATAGGCCTTTGACCACCCATTCCAAAGCTGTACTTCTCATCCAAGTGTTCTCCATCATAACCCCCTCTTCCTGTTTCCAACATAGCACATACCACTTTACACAACTCATAGCACATGCTTAGATTTATCTCATTTTTTTCTTGTGTTTTTTGTCCTTTTAAATGCAAATTCCATGATTACAGGTGATTTTTGAGATGTTTGTTGTTTACTACTGCCTCTGTATGACACAAAAAGGTCTGATACTTGCTAAGTACCCAAGAAATATTTGCTGAATGACTAACTGAAAGTCTTCCACATTCTAGTGGAGAAGGGCTGGCTGAAAATAATGGATGGGGATAGAAAAAAGGGAAAAAGTTGAGGAAAGCAGCTCATCTAAATTCTTAGTAATTCAGAATTCTTAGCTATAAAATATATGTGTTAACCTGATTCATTTTACAGGGCTATGTGCATAATCATTCATTGAAAAGGAAGTACTGTGTAAATTCAAAATTCATGAGTTAAAATTATGAGATTTTATAATTAAGAAAGATAATACTGGAGGGGATAATATGAAGTTCATAGAAGATGAATAACTAATACCAAGTGCTAATAATACAAAGGAATTTAGGATTAGTCAAAGTTAAGTTCCATTTCATGCTTGAGTATAACATGATAAATGATGACAACTGTGCACCTAAACTTTTACAAAATTTATGAATTATTCCCTGACCATGCTAAAATTTATTAAGTGGAGACACTAACTTGTTATTTGTCTAGAGAGCATTATGAAGTCATAGAGAGACAGAGAGACAGAGAGAGAGAGGAGAGAGAGAGAGAGAGAGATCCAAGTTTCACAATATTATTTGATTTGGCAATTATGATTCTATTTTCTTTTTTCTTCAGAACATTTGTAAAATCAGCACTTTAAGAAAATTGGAAAGACCTGTATCATTGGATTTTCTGTTTTGTATATTGCTGGGAGTTTTAATAATTTTCAATAAGCATGCAGAATTAGAACCTAATACGTTGCATTTGAGTTCACGCATTATTTAAGTTAGAAAAGAACTTGAAAGAGTGTATAGTAATTTCCCTTCTCATTCTTCTCTATCTAACAGTGAGATTTAGTCCATGGTCATAGTGTTCATGAAGAATGTACTATGCTATGAGTAGGGCTAGAGGTTTCTTAAAGCTTTACAGCTCAATGCTGTTTTATTGAAAGGAAGTTGGAATCCACAAGACTCTACCTGAGAACACCTGGTGCCTCTCACTCTTGCTATTGTTCTTTGACTGAGTCATATACCTAAATCGATGTGGTTTTCATTCCTGAGAATTTTAATCTGATTCATTGTTTCCCAAACTTCAGGCTAAGCATCAACACTTATCTACCACCAAGGGAAAGATGTAAGGCCAAGGAAAAAAAAAATTTGCAAGATACTAACTTTTCCCAAAGTAGGGAAATTTCCTTTTTATGAAGATGGTATTGCTCTTGTTGTTTGGTGCAAGCCATTTTTTGTGAAAAATACAATGATAATCATTTTTTCAAAATATTTTATTTGGCAACTTAAAATATTGATAATATTGAATAATGGCTTCTATTAAATTTTCTTCAAGCATATTAACATTAAAATACAGAGAGAATAATGAACCCAAATTTTGTCTGATTATATCATTACCCATTCTCTCTTCCCTTAGTCTTTTTTATCTATAAATATTTTAGCCTTGAACTTTAGAAAATAAGGATTAATTTTCTTAAATTTATCTTGAACTTTTATTTTTTAAAAAATTAACTCTATTGGTACATTTTAGATATAGATCATGATCACATTCATCATAGGGAGTTTGTATCTGTGCATGATATATCTTGATCCTTCTTTTTTCCCCATTCCTTTTCCCTCCCCTCAATTCCTCTTTCCTTCCTTATTTACAAAAACTTTGTTTGCATTTTTGTCCTTCTATTCTCTTTTCACTTCCTATCTTGAAATTTTAGTGAATACAAAATCCTAATTAGAATTGAAACAGGCTTCATGGAGAATATTCAGTTATACACATGGCTGGAAAGAAAGTGGAAACAGGAAAGAGGTAATTCATTACCACTAGCGATGGGTGGAACTGATATTTAACCCTTGGAATTTTTATTCAATATCTAGTGACCGTTCCTGATGTCACAGAAAGGAAAGTAAAAACATATTGTAGAGGAGCCCTAACTCCGGCCATGCACAAAAATTAATTCAAAATAAATCATAGATCTAAGTAAAAGAAATAGACCCATACATATCTTAGGAAAAATCATAAATATAGATCTTCATGACTTTAAACTAGGAATTTGTTTTAGATATAATGTCAACAACCAAGGAAGCAAACAAAAATAGACAACTTGGATTTCATCAAAGTTAGAAACTTTTGTAAGGGTTGGGAATGTAGCACAGCTTGCAGGCCTGGCAAGCACAAGGTCCTGAGTTCGATCTCCGGTGGTTGCCCCCTCAATAAATTTTTGTGCATTACAGGAAACAATAAAGAAAATGAAAAGATGAGTCCAGAATGCATATAAATAGCTGCAAATCATATATGTGGTAAAGGTCTAGTATGCAGAATATATAAAGAAGCATTTTAGTTTAATTATGAAAAGATAATCTAATTAAAATGGGTAAAATATTTGAATAAGTCTTATTTGAAAGATGATATAAAAAATAAATAACACGTCATTAATCATCAGGGAAATACAAATGAAGACCACAGTGAGATATCACTTCATATCCCCACTAGGGTTGTTATAATACAGAGGAAAAGTAATGACAAGTATGAGCAAGGATGTGGAAAAACTGGAAACAAGTGTTCTGCTGATGAGACAGTAAAGCGTTCAGCCATTTTGAAAAACAGTTTGAAAGTTTCTTAAAAAGTTAAGTATATACAGAGGAAAGCATAAAATATAGAATTATTATATGATACAGCAATTCCTTTCCTGGGAATGTACCCTAGAGAAAGGAAAGCACATGTTCACACAAAACATTGACTAGGACTGTTCAGAGAAGCATTATTCATGAAACAAAGCTGTATGTGGTGTCACATACCTGTAATCCCAGCACTCAGGAAGCTGAGGCAGGAGAATCTCTGGGAGTTCAAAGGCAGCCTGGGCAACAAAGTGAGTTCAGTCAGCCTGGGTTACATAGTGAGTTTGAGGCCAGCGTGAACTACGATATGAGACCCTGTCTCAAAAAACTAAAAACCAAATCCAAAACAAAATATACATAAATGGGTGTCAACTGATGAATGGATAAGCAGAATGTATTATAATGATGCAATAAAATATTACTGAGCTTTAAAAAGGAATGGCATTCCAAGTAGCACTCTGACACAGATGAGTCTTGGAAACATTTTGCTCTGTGACAGAAGTTGGAAGGCCCATAATTTTAAGATTTCATTTTCATGAAATGTCCAGTATATGGATATCCTTGCATACAGAGCGTAGACTGGTTGTTGCTAAAGGCTAGTGGATATTTGGTTTCTTTTTGAGGCAATGAAAATATTCTAGAATTAGGTGATGGTAATGGTGCAAAACTTTTCAAATATACTTAAAAAACCCTCGAATTATGTACTTTAAAAGTATCAGTTTTATAGTATGGAAATTATGTCTCAGGGTAAGACATAAGGGTCTACTTCCTTCCATCCCTCAAAGTTATTATTACCTTCATTATAGTTATTTTCTTTCTTTTTGTCTCTTTTTCCTAAAGGAAAATTTATAGCAGCAAGCTAAATTTTAGGTACTCATATGTTAAATGTTAAAACTAAGAATTCTAATTTTACTTTTTAATTTTTAACACTAATGAACTTTTATTGCCCTCCTCTGATGTTGGGGATCAGGCACTCTGCCACTGAGCTACATCCCCAGCAATTTAAAAAATTTTTAAAGTAGTTTTTTTTTTAATTGAGTAATTTTAGATATCTGGAAAGCGTTCAGTGCCAGTAAAGAAAAATCCCCTAGGTTTTCATTCAGTTACCTCCTCATGTCAGCTTCTTTTACTTATTTGTAATTTTAAAATTTTTTATTAGTGCCTGTTTGCAATACATAATGATTACATTCATTGTGGTAACATCAGCATCTTGTATAACGGTGGAACTAAATCTAAGAAGCTGACCCTGGTACATTGCTATTAAATGCACCCCGTAATTTATTCAGACATTATGTTTTTCCACTGTGACCTGTTTCTCTCTGCCCAGTTCCAGTCCAAGAGCCACTTTGCATTTAGTTGACACATCCCTTTAATACTCTCTGGTCTGTGACAGCTTCTCATTCTTTCCTTACTTTTTGTGACCTCGAGACTTTTTGAACAGAATTGTTCAGGTGTTTTAAATAATGTGTCTCAAGTTGGTTGGGTTCATCTATTATTTTCCCCATGATTGTTGGGGTTATGAGTGTGGGGTTGCAGACCCCAGAGGTGATACACCTTTCCCATCGCATCTTTTCAGGGAGGACAGGGCATCAAGATGACTAATCATTGGTGAAACTAATCTTGATCATTTCCTTTACTTAGTGCTTGCCAGGTGGTTTCACAGAGAAGCTATCGTAATTTTCCTTCCTATATTCTGTGACTTAGAAGTGAGTCAATAAATTGAGCTCGCACTCAGAGTAGGGTATGGGGAGATTAAGGCA